TACCGAGACCTATTCCACGGTGCCACCTTTGTGCCCCGAGTCGCCCTGCATGTGGCCTACGCTGTGGGTGAGGACGACCTGATGCCCGTGTACTATGGCAATGAGGTGACTCCAACCGAGGTAACTGCTCCCCTGGGCCTTCTCCCTGCCCTGTGTGCACACAGACACATCCCATCTCAGTGTCACAGACGCTCCTGGGTTTGGAATTTTGTTGTTCTCTCTTTGATTTCCTGGAAGACAACACCATGACAATTACTAAGAATGTAGTAGAAAATGAAGGAAAAAGAGGCTCTGTCTCAGCACATTCCTGTGACCAGCCTGCCGTCTGTGTTGTGCCCTCCTGCTCAGGCCTTGGCACACGTTCCTTTTTGTGGTTGTTGCCTGGACGGGCAACTCTGCAGGGCTCCTTCTCTAAGCATCCCTTTGCATGCCTGCCTGTGCCAGGGGCTGTCAAGGGCGTTTGGCTCAGAGAGGGTACCCCTTTCTCCAAGCCTCCCTGCAACAGCTTGTCTGTCTCTGGTGGAGCTGACAGCTTCCTTCTCTTTCTGCCAGGCTGCCCAAGCGCCAGAGGTGACCTATGAGGCAGAAGAGGGCTCCTTGTGGACGTTGCTACTCACTAGCTTGGGTGGGTGTCTGGGGCTCACCAGGCCTCCTACCCGCCTTACCTCCCATGAGCCAGGACCCTGGGGGGCTGGGGAAGGTGCCAGGTGGAGATCCCCAGCACTGGCTCCTAACAAGGGGCAGGGCAGCTGGGCCGGGGGCAGCTGGGCCATGGTCAGCGGGTGTGTTTCTGTGCAGATGGGCACCTGCTGGAGCCGGATGCTGAGTACCTCCACTGGCTGCTGTGAGTACCGGGGGTGGGGAGGGCCCAGGCGGGAGGGTCAGACCCGGGAGCTGGAACAAGCTGCACCTGAGTTTCACGGACTACCCATGGGACTTTGAATTCACCCCCCACCTCTGCCTCCTGAGGGGGTTAGGGGCCCTGGGATCCAGGTGTGTACTTGAAGACAGGTACAGGAGACAAAGCTTACAGTAGGCCTCGGTCAGCCCGAACAAGCCTCATCTTTTTTTCCCTCCCCACCGCACCCCTCGCCCACTTTTTTTTTTGAGTCAGGGTCTCACTCTGTCCCCTAGGCTGGAGTACAGTGGTGCAGTCATGGCTAATTGCAGCCTTTAATTCTTGGGCTCAAGTGACGCCCCCTACCTCAGGCTCCTGAGTAGCTGAGACTACAGGTACAAGCCACCACTCCCAGCTAATTTTTGTATTTATTTATTTATTATACAAAGAGCTCTTGGCATGGAATTTTTTGATTTTTTATAGGGACAGGGTTTCACCATGTTGCCCAGGCTAGTCTCTTGAGCTCAAGCGATCTGCCTGCCTCAGCCTCGCAAAGTGCTAGGATTACAGGCCTGAGCCACCATGCCTGGCCCCTTTGTCGCTCTAAATTCATTTCTTTGCCTGTAAAACTGGGATAATGTCACCACCTGACTTACTCAACTGTGACAGTCGTGGCGGAAGGAGTAGGAGAGGCCCTGCAGCTGTCCTGTCCCCCACATGCCCCTTGAACCATTGGTCACTCCTTCCCTGGGACCAGGCGTCTTCCCACAGGGCCCAGGCTGGGCTGCCTTCTACCTTCTTGGTAGCTTTGGGCTCTGAACAACAGGGCAGGGGGCAGAGGTCAGGACCGCGACCCCAGCTTTGAACCTTCTGGTTAATTGGGGACAGTGACTGGGAGGCTGGTTTCTGCCGTTTTTATTCAACTGCAGTTACCAACCTGTGTGGCAGGACCCTTTGGGAAGTTGTCCTGAGGCAGTGGCCGCACCTGTGACAGGCTGGGCACACACTCCCTGACGAGGTCCTGGAGACCTCAGGATGCAGAGGGAAAAGCAGCCAACTAGCCTCAGTGACTCTGGCCGACCCTCTGGCTCCCAGGGCCTGGAAGCAGGCTGCGTGGCCTCTCTGTCAAGTTGATGTTCTCTGGAGCCCTGTTTGCGGTATGTCCAGGTGTCCACAGAGCTTGGCTCCCTCCTCCATCCTAGGAGAGAGATCGCTTAGGGCTATCCTGCCAGGGAGTCATGTCAGCCTCTAGGGTATGTGTGGAGCTGGGGGGGACACTTCTGCCACCTCCTTGGATCGGTTATTAATGGGGACTTTCCTCCTCCCAGAACCAACATCCCGGGCAACCGGGTGGCTGAAGGACAGGAAACGTGTCCCTACCTCCCCCCCTTCCCTGCCCGAGGCTCTGGCATCCACCGTCTTGTCTTCCTGCTCTTCAAACAGGACCAGCTGATTGACTTCTCCGAGGACATGCGCCCCTCACCCTGGTAATCAACACCCTGGGCACATAACCTGGCCTCAGGCCAGCTCCCCTGGAATAGTCACTGTTGCTCAGTTCTCCCTCAACCTTGGCCTTGAGGCTGACAGAAGAGCAGGATAGGGTGCCAGTAGACCCACAGGAGTAGAGGGTGTGGGGCTCTGGTGCCCAGCTCTCCACTCTCACATGTTCTCCATCTTCTCATAGCTACCAGCTGGCCCAGCGGACCTTTCGCACCTTTGATTTCTATAAGAAACACCAAGAAGCCATGACTCCAGCTAGCCTGTCCTTCTTCCAGTGCCGCTGGGATGACTCTGTCACCCACATCTTCCACCAGCTTCTGGGTAAGAGCCATGGGGCTGGGGCATGGGGTGGGCCTGAGCTCCCAGGCCTTGCCTGCCCTGCCCGGGAGCAGCTTTGTTAGAAGGCCTCGGCAGGCCCCTGATGGGCAGCCCTCAGCCTGAGGGGGTGCAGGCCAGCAGGGGACCACCCCTGTGCCTCTCGCTCTTCTTGCAGACATGCGGGAGCCAGTGTTTGAGTTCGTGCGGCCGCCCCCTTACCACCCCAAGCAGAAGCGCTTCCCCCACCGGCAGCCCCTGCGCTACCTGGACCGGTACAGGGACAGTCATGAGCCCACTTATGGCATCTACTAAGGAGCCAGAGTGTGCCCACCTCAGAGCATGGGATTGATTGGCAGCAACAATAAAGACACAGCTCCAGAGGCCCACAGCTCCAGAGGCCCACGGAGGCAGCCCCTCCGTGGCTCCCTTCCATCAGGCCCAGGGCTTGGAGTGAAAGGGACTCTCAGGTGATGGTGTGGAGAATGTGAATAAAGATTTCTTGCCAAGCTTAGTGGCTCACGCCTGTAATCCCAACATTGGGAGGCTGAGGAGGGAGGATTGCTTGAGCCCAGGAATTTAAGACCAGCCTAGGCAACATAATGAGACCCTGCCTCTTTTTAAAATAAAAAATAAATTTGAAAAGATGATGATTTCTGCTGTAGCTGGCCTGGGTCGGTGTTCCAGAGCCAGAGGCCCCTGATGGAGCTGTATTGCTTCATGAGTGGGAAAGGGGCTGCCCCCCACCCCACGAGGTGGCCCTGGGATCTGAAGTGAAAGAAGGCAGTGGGCCAAAAACAGGTGTGGCCTGGGGATGGAGACATCCCAATCCAGCAGGTGCCTAAAACCCAGCTCCCTGAAAAAGTGCAGCAGAGCATCTGGGCTGAGGAGGGAGCATTTATTGAGCACTGGCTGTGTGCCCCGGGGATCCCACAGGCCCCTGGAAAGAGAATGCTTGCCCCAGCACTGACCCTCTGGGCAGGCTCCTTCCCCCACCCTGGGCTTGGGAGGAGAAGCCACATCAAGTAGGGAACAACATGTCTCAGAGACCTGCTCAGGGTCAGAAAGCCCCATGGAGCCTCTCACTGGATGGTTAGGTGTTTTGTTTCACCCTTCCCCAAAACGGAAGGCTGGCTAACTCGTAGCTGGAGGGTAGATCAGTGCACTTTTTCCAGAAAAACCACCTATCACTGCACAGAGGACGAAGTGCTTGCTCCAAGCAGCGGTGAGAGCATGTGCCGCCTCAACATCAGCCCAGCTTGGTTTAGAAAGGCCTTACCTCTCCTGGATTCCCCTTGGCCTGATAACACTGCCCAGGGAGGTCGGGGCCAGATCTCCAGACCCGCTTTCCAAAGCTGCTCAGCTGCAGGGGAAATGCTGGAGTGCCTCTAAATATTGAGGCTGCAGATCTGCTCGAACCCCAGGCTAGGAACTCTCCCCAGCAGAGGGCAGCAGGGAGAGGGGATGCTGGTTCCAGCTGAAAGCTGCTTTGTGTATTCATTCAAGGGCCGTTTGAAAAACACCAGTTAACTGGTCCCTGTCTCTTGGTGACCAGACATTTCCGTCTCGCTGTTTACTTTAAAAGAACCAAAATTACGTGTAGCCCAGAGAAGGGAGACACCCCAGTCTGGCAAGTGCCTGAAGCCCAGCTCCAGGAAAAAGTGCAGCAGCCCTCTTGGAGTCTGCAGGAAGCCCGCCCGCCCACATGCACTGACTTTCATCGCTGACCCCAGAGGGTTGGGGGGTGGGGTGGGGTCTATGCTGTTAGGCGATTGACAGATGAGTCCAGAAGAGGTTCCGCACTGCCTGTGGTCAGAAGCCCTGAGGCCCAGCGGGGTGCGATCTCGGCTCACCGCCACCTCTGCCTGCCGAGCTCAAGCGATTCTCCTGCCTCAGCCTCCCGAGTAGCTGGGATTACGGGCGCCCGCCACGACGCCCGGCTAATTTTGTATTTTTATTAGAGATGGGGCTTCTCCATGTTGGTCAGGCTGGTCTCGAACTCCCCACTTCAAGTGATCTGCCCACCTCGGGTTTCCCAAAGTGCTGAGATTACAGGCATGAACCACCACGCCCGTCCCCCTGCGGGGTTTTCGAGCCTCTGGTCTCCAGGAGCTGCGCTGAGGGCCCAGGGGAGTGGGATGGACCCACCAGGCCTGGACCCGAGGGAGCCGGACCCAGCTCCCAGCCAGGGTGGCGCGGTGCCTGGAGGGAGGGAGGGGCGCAACGCGAGAACGCGAAGCCTTCGAGCGGCCCAGGCTGAGGCGGGCAGGGGTGGCCTGGGCCCCGGCGACGCCTCTGGTCGGAGGTGTTGGAGGAGGGCCTGCCGCGCCGGACCGCGTCCCTGGGCGGGATTCCCGCCGCGCCCCGCCCCACCCCGCGTTGGCCACGCCCGGGCGCCCTTAGCGCGCAACGTCCGCGGTCCCTTTAAGACGCCCGGGGCGCACGCCGCTGCCGCCGCCGCTGCCGCCGCCGCCGCCGCCGCCGCCGCCGCCGCCGGTCCATGGCAGCGCAGTTACTGGAGGAGAAGCTGACCTGCGCCATCTGCCTGGGGCTCTACCGGGACCCGGTGACGCTGCCCTGCGGTCACAACTTCTGCGGGGCCTGCATCCGGGACTGGTGGGGCCGCTGCGGGAAGGCGTGCCCCGAGTGTCGGGAGCCCTTCCCCGACGGCGCCGAGCTGCGCCGCAATGTGGCCCTCAGCGGCGTGCTGGAGGTGGTGCGCGCCGGGCCTGCCCGGGACCCCGGCCCTGAGCCCGGCCCCGGCGCGCGCTGCCCCCGCCACGGGCGGCCGCTGGAGCTCTTCTGCCGCACCGAGGGCCGCTGCGTGTGCACCGTGTGCGAGTGTCGTCTCCACGAGCGGGTGCTGCTGGACGCCGAGCGCCTGGAACGGGAGGTGACTCCACCGACGGGGGCGGGAGGGGGCCGGGCCCGCTGCAGCCTGGCCATGGCCAGGTGACTTCCGCGGGCGGCGCCCTGCTCTCTCTAGGCGCCCAGTGGGGGCGGGGAGCCTCAACTGGAGGTGGCTTCGCCCAACCTGGGAGTTGATTATAAAAATCGAGGGTCTGGGCCGGGCGCGGTGGCTCACGCCTGTAATCCCAGCACTTTGGGAGGCCGAGGCGGGTGGATCATGAGGTCAAGAGATCGAGACCATCCTGGTCAACATGGTGAAACCGCGTCTCTACTAAAAATACAAAAAATTAGCTGGGCATGGTGGCGCGGGCCTGTAATCCCAGCTATTCAGGAGACTGAGGCAGGAGAATTGCCTGAACCCAGGAGGCGGAGGTTTCAGTGAGCCGAGATCGCGCCATTGCACTCCAGCCTGGGTAACAAAAAAAAAAAAAAAAAAAAAAAATCGGAGGTCTGTGCATCCGACTGGGATGTGCAGCCCAGCCAGGGCCACAGGGTAGGGTGGGGCTCAGGAGCTGCTTGGTGCCTTCTGGATGAACGCAGAAGCCTGGGCATGAGGCAGCAGCTCCCTGCCCCGTGCCCAGGCGCTAGAAAACCGTCGTGTGTCCCCGGCGATCTTCGAGCCTCCTTTCATTCGCTGTGTAGGAGGGCTTGGGGGCTGTTGGTAAATGGATCAGAGGAGCTCCTTGTCCTTAAGAGGCTTAGAATACACTTAAGAAGTCAGTGTTGGGCCGGGCGTAGTGGTCCGCGCCTGTAATCCAAGCACTTTGGAGGCCAAGACGGTTGGATCACCTGAGGTTGGGAGTTCATGACCAGCCTGACCAACATGGTGAAACCCCTTCTTTAAAAAAAAAAAAAAAAAAAAAAGTCAGTGTTCCGGTCAGGTGTGAATGTATTGTTACAAAAATGCAGTGAGGAAAGCACGTGGCATGTGATAGCAATGTCAGGGTGACCCTGCTAAGCGGGCAGGGGAGGCCGCCTTCAGGCTGAGGGCTGAGGAAGCACCAGCCAGAAGGAAGATCTGAGGAAGAGCATTCTAGGCAGAGGAGGCAGCCTTGTCCCCGTCCCGGGAAGGGAAAGAACTAGGCACGTGGAGTCCCTGGGGGCAGATTTGTGCCACTGAGATCTGCGGGCCAGGCCCTGGGGGTCAGCGGGGTCAGATCAGGCAGGGTCCTGGGGGAGTGTGGCTCTTATTCTAGGGGGATGGGGACCATCACGCAGAATCATTTGGGGACAGAGGAGGGCTTGGAGGCAGGGCGGCACATGGTCAGATTTGGGCTTCATGGAGACTGATCACCTGGCTGGGGGCTGAAGTGGGCATAAGGACCTGAATCGAGGAGTAGCCTGGGGCAGGAGTGCAGGGAAGCAAGGAACCGGCTGGTGGGGCAGGGAGAGGAGACCAGGATGGAGGAGGAGGTGAGAAACGCTGAGGGGGAGCAGTACCTTGTGGAGGCAAAAACAGGCCAGAGGGGACACGGGGGACAGCAGAGAGGGTGGTAAGGGAGACACCTGGGTTTCTGTGTTGAGCAGGCATGTGGCTGGGGTGCTATGTGCTCGGAGGCCTCGTTTGGCTTTAGATGTACAGAGGTCAGAGTCGCCAGTGGGACAAACCAGGGGATGGGTCTGCAGCAGCTGTCCGAAGCTCAGGAGTGGGGAGCTGGAGGTCTAGAGCTGGGAGTCATTAGCACAGGAGAGAGAGAAGGTTCCGGGAAGGAGGAGGAGAAGGCCCTGCCTGCAGTCAAACGAAGCTGGAGCTCCCGGGGAGATGGGGAAGGCTGGGGGAACGGCACAAGGGTGCCAGGAAGAGAAGGGTACGGTGCCCATGCTGATGGGAGGCTCGGTACAAGGACAGAAATGACCTTCAGCATTGGTACCGTGGAGGTGGCCCATGCCACAAGACAAGACCATTTCAACAGCGAAGACAGGACACAGAGTCATTTGGGGACAGAGGAGGGCTGGGACTAAGGCATGGGCGCAGGATGGTGCAGGGACACTGGGTGGGACAGGAAGGGAAGGGATGGCCTGATGGGCAGGGAAGGATGGAGGTGTGCACGGCTGGGCGTTGGCGAGGTGGGAGGCCTGGGACTGAGGCCGCTGCAGCTGGAGAGGGCAGGAAGGCGGTGGTCAGAGAAGAAGAATGGATGCCTAGAATGGAGATTGTGGAGCTGGTGACAAGGGCCAGGGTGCGTTCGCAGGAGCAGCTGAGATGAGGTGAAGGAAGAGGGCTCCAGAGTGTTGGGGGACGTTGCTTGTAGCTGCTGAGGCTGCCAAGAAGGATGAGCTGAGATGTACTGCTGACGGGTGGGTGCAGAAGACTGAGCTAGGCGTGGAAATCCGCAACGGAGGCCAGTACACGATGGCCATTGCAGAGGAAGGGAGTGACAGGGGCAGCCAGTGGCACCAGGGGAACCAGGATTTTGCAAGAGAGAGGGAAAGGCCTGTGGGGGTGCTGTCCTTAGGGGAGGGCCGGGTGCCCTGGGAGAGCCTACCCTCCCACTTCCTGTGTTCCTATGTTAAATGCTCGAGGCAGGGGACCTGGAGGAGTGCTGGGCTTGGGAAGATCTGAGGACTTTGACCAAATTATCACCTTCTCTGAGCCCATTTCCTCTCTGATGTGTTAGGCGGGAACGGAAGCAAGGTGGTGAAGCTCTTGACCAGGCACTGGGAACAGGGCCCCTGGTATCTGCCTGGTTCATCCTGCTCCCATGAGAGCATGGTGTTTTGATTCCCAAAGGAATCGGGGAGCACAGCCACTTAGGGGTCCCTTTCTTCCCCCGCATGCCCAAAGCTAGGATCAGGGGCTGGCTGGGTCCCCTGAATAATCTACTTTGTGCATGCAAATAACTGGCCACTTGTCAGACAGCTTTGGTGCTTTGGGTGGTCCCTGAAGTCAGCTCCTCAAGCACCAGGATCTCCTGGGCCACTGACCCCTCTGCAGTGAGACAGAGACCAATGGCTTTAGTGTTTGGGGTCATCCCTGCAAGGCCCTCTGAGTCAGCATTATCGCTTTCATATATTGATGGGTGGAGGGTTAGGCAAGTGCTTTGCCCCAGCTTGCTCAACATGCAAGAAGTAGAAATGGGAATGAAGTTGGGTCTTGAGCCCAAGGCTTCCGCTCTGCTCAGATTCCACCTGCTGCCGGCAAGGAGAGACTGTCCAGACCCCTTGGCTCGCAGGTCCAACTTTCCCCGGGTTAGAGGGAGCCCGGTGCTCTGGAGGCTGGCCTGGGGTGGCATGCGGAGGGGCTGCATGGCATCTGCAGGTATGGTTGCTTGTCTGAGGAAGGATGTCACAGCCAATCCTGGCCCTCTCTCGTTGCTTGTCCCACGGGTGGGCACCACAGGCCCAGCTGAGAGCCAGCCTGGAGGTTACCCAGCAACAGGCCACTCAAGCCAAATGCCAGCTACTGCAACTACAGAAGCAAAGCAGCCAGATCCAGGTACGAGGCCTGTGCCTGCCCGCCCACCACGGCCTCACAGTGCATCCTGGGGGTGGCCACCGACGGGTCCCTGGAACACCGGGCAGCAGGGAGTGATGCTGAGCAGGGAGCTGGGCACAGGGGGCCTGGGGAGGTTCCCAGGACCTTGGCTGCCCACATCCCTGCCCCTCAGCTCAGCGAGCAGCCCTGGCCCTAGCCTGCCTTGGCGTGGCGCAGGACCCTAGCCACCCTGAAGCCCCTCCTGTTCCCATGCAGAGCTCCGCCTGCACCTTGGCCTCCTCAGTCTCCGGCAAGTTCAGCAGCCTGCTGCAGGCCCTGGAGATGCAGCACATAGCAGCGCTGAGGAGCATTGAGGCAGCCAAGACGCAGGCACTGGCACAGGCTCAAGATGAGGAGCAGCGACTGCGGGGCCACTTGGAGGTTCTGGCTCGCCATGGCTGCAGGATCCAGGAGCTCTTGGAGCAGGGGGATGCGCAGACCTTCCTGCAGGTGCCAGATGTCAGGGCACAGGTGGGGGGACTTGCTTCCCAGCCCCTCGAGCCCGGACTTACTTGCTCTCCCTGGGGCTCAGGAATCACAGCTCCTCCAGCCCCCAGGGCCTCTTGGGCCACTGACCCCTCTGCAGTGGGACGAAGACCAACAGCTGGGTGACCTGAAGGAGTTGCTACGCCGGCTGTGTGGCCTCCTCCTGGAAAACAGGGAGCACCCCGGGCCACCAGCCAAGCCTGTGAACTTAGGCCCTGTGGGTAAGGCTAACCCCAGACCCGTCCACTGGGCCCAGCTGCCCTTCCCACTGGGGGATGGAGGGGGGTCATGGCCCACACACTGTGACCTCTCCAACCACTCCCCTAACACTGCTTTGCCCCCTAGAGGCTCCAGGTCCCCTGGCACGGATCCCAAGCACAATTTGTCCACTGAGGAGGAAACTCCAGCAGAGTAAGGAGCCTTTTCGTGTGTGTGCACCTGGGTGTGTGCAAGGAAGTGCATGTGTGCGCCTGTGTGTGGTGTGCAAGGAAGTGCACGTGTGTCCTTGTGTGGTGTGCAAGGAAGTGCACGTGTGCCCGTGTGTGTGTGCAAGGAAGTGCACGTGTGTGCCTGTGTGGTGTGCAAGAAAGTGCACGTGTGTGGTAAAGAAGTGCACGTGTGCCCGTGTGTGGTGTGCAAGGAAGTACACGTGTGCATGTGTGGTGTGCAAGGAAGTGCATGTGTGCCCATGTGTGTGGTGTGCAAGGAAGTGCATGTGTGCCCATGTGTGGTGTGCAAGGAAGGGCACGTGTGTGCCTGTGTGGTAAGGGCACATGTGCCCGTGTGGTATGTAAGGAAGTGCACATGTACACCTGTGTGGTGTGCAAGGAAGTGCACATGTGCCTGTGTGTGCAAGGAAGTGCACGTGTGCCCGTGTGGTGTGTAAGGAAGTGCACATGTGCGCCTGTGTGTGTGTGCAAGGAAGTGCACGTGTGCCCATGTGTGGTGTGTAAGGAAGTGCATGTGTATGCCTGTGCGGTGTGCAAGGAAGTGCACGTGTGCCTGTGTGGTGTGCAAGGAAGTGCACATATGCCCATTTGTGTGGTGTACAAGGAAGTACACGTGTGCGCCTGTGTGTGGTGTGCAAGGAAGTGCCCGTGTGGTGTGCAAGGAAGTGCACGTGTGCCCGTGTGTGGTGTGCAAGGAAGTGCACATGTGCCCGTGTGTGTGTGCAAGGAAGTGCATGTGCGCCTGTGTGTGTGCAAGGAAGTGCACATGTGCCCGTGTGGTGTGTAAGGAAGTGCATGTGTGCACCTGTGTGGTGTGCAAGGAAGTGCACGCGTGCACCTGTGTGTGGTGTGCAAGGAAGTGCATGTGTGCCCCTGTGTGTGTGGTGTGCAAGGAAGTGCATGTGTGCACCTGTGTGTGCTGTGAGCACTGTGTGCGCACCTGTTTGTATGCATGTGTGATTCAGGGGCACGTGCTGTGACTGTTCTGTCCTGGATTTGTGGGCCTGGCCCCACCCCCTGCACACCTGGTGCACGTCCACCCTGAAGCAGGTGCAGCTAGCATATGTTGAAGGACAGAGTCTGGGACACAGATCTTTAATTCTTCCACTTAATACCGAGTTAATGGCTCTCGGAGCCCCAGTTTTCTCAGCTGTGAATGGGGCTGATAAAGGATTGCGCCTGTGAAGTGGTGGCGAGGATTCAGTGCTGTGGTGACGGCCAGTGCTCGGCGTGCCCAGCGGATGTTTAGCAGTGGGTAAATGGAAATGTGGCTCTGCTGTCTTCCCTGTGGACAGGACCCCTAGCCCACCTCTGTCCTTTCCCCAACAGATTATCGCAATCTAACCTTTGATCCTGTCAGTGCCAACCGTCACTTCTATCTGTCGCACCAGGACCAGCAGGTGAAACACTGTTATCAGTCCCAGGGCCCAGCTGGGCCAGGCAGCTTCGAGCTCTGGCAGGTGCAGTGTGTCCAGAGCTTCCAGGCTGGGCGCCACTACTGGGAGGTGCATGTGTCAGACCACTCAGTGACGCTGGGCGTCTCCTACCCGCAACTGCCACGGTGCAGGCTGGGGCCCCACACAGACAACATCGGCCGGGGCCCCTGCTCCTGGGGGCTCTGCGTCCAGGAGGATGGCCTCCAGGCCTGGCACAATGGGGAGGCCCAGCGCCTCCCAGGGGTGTCGGGGCGGCTCCTGGGCATGGATTTGGACATGGCCTCAGGCTGCCTCACCTTCTACAGCCTGGAGCCCTGGACCCAGCCCCTGCACACTTTCCATGCCCTCTTCACCCAGCCCCTCATCCCCGTCTTCTGGCTCCTCGAGGGTAGGACCCTGACCCTGTGCCATCAGCCGGGGGCTGTGTTCCCTCCAGGGCCCCAGGAAGAGGTCTCTGTGCTCAGCTGAAGAAGGCATGGGATGGAGCCCTGGCACAGCTGCCACCCTGCCTGTGTGCCCAAGAGCTGCCCAGCTCCAGCTTGGGGACCCAAGGACCAGCTGTTGGCCTGTCTGTGACTCAGAGAGAGATTGGGGGGTGTGGGGGTGGGCATAAACCCAGAGTTCACACTTCCAGCCTCTTAGAAAGGGACACGGTCTAGGAAGGGGATAAATGGGAAGCCCTCGCCTCAAACAGAACCCAGTTCTAGGCATCGCCTGGACCTAGGAGGCTAGAGCAGTGCCCAGGGGACTTCTGGGTTTACAGGACAGCATATGTGACAAAATTCAGATCCACCTGAATTTGCCTCTGGAGATGATAACGGGCCAAAGGAGCAGTCAGTGTGGGACAGTGAGCCAGGGGAAGATGGAGTCCTCCCTCCTTCCCGCCTGAGGCTCTAATTTTTTGTAACATTTGGGTAGACATCCATCCTGTCCTGGAGTCTTTTTATTTTGTGCATCCTTAAAATAGTATGGTATGAACAACTGTTTTCTGCATTTAAACATTTTAATTTTTTTAGGAGACAGTCCTGCTCTGTCACCCAGGCTGGAGTGCAGTGGTGCAGTCATGGCTCACTGCAGCCTTGAGCTCCTGAGCTCAAGGGATCCTCACACCTCAGCCTCTGCAGTAGCTGAGATTACAGTGTTTTCTGCAATTTTTTGACTTAACATAAGCGTTTTTCACATGATTGAACATTTTCACTCAAGGCTCACTGCAGCCTTGAGCTCCTGAGCTCAAGGGATCCTCACACCTCAGCCTCTGCAGTAGCTGAGATTACAGTGTTTTCTGCAATTTTTTGACTTAACATAAGCGTTTTTCACATGATTGAACATTTTCACTCAAGGCTCACTGCAGCCTTGAGCTCCTGAGCTCAAGGGATCCTCACACCTCAGCCTCTGCAGTAGCTGAGATTACAGTGTTTTCTGCAATTTTTTGACTTAACATAAGCGTTTTTCACATGATTGAACATTTTCACTGATGGATTGCTGTAGTCGTTCTAATGGCTATCAAATTTATTTACCCACTATTGGACATTTAAATTGCTTTCTTTTTAGCTATACAAATATCAGTATTGCCGGGCACGGTGGCTCACGCCTGTAATCCCAGTACTTTAGGAGGCTGAGGCAGGTGGATCACAAAGTCAGGAGTTCAAGACTAGCCTACCCAACATGGTGAAACCCCGTCTCTACTAAAAATGCAAAAATTAGTAGGCGTGGTGGTGGGGACCTGTAGTCCCAGCTACTCGGGAGGCTGAGACAGGAGAATTGCTTGAACCCGAGAGGTAGAGTAGCTGAGATTACAGTTCTCAGCTGTAATTTAGTGAGCCAAGATCGCACCACTGTATTCCAGTTTGGGTGACAGAGCAAGACTGTCTCAAAAAAAAAAAAAAAAAACCTAACAATGTGTTTTTTTCTTTTTGTTTTTTTTTTTTTTTTTTTTTTTTTGAGACAGAGTCTCCCTCTGTCATGCAGGCTGGTGTGAAGTGGTGCCATCATGGGCTCATAGGATTCTCCAGCCTCCTGAGTAGCTGGGATTACAGGTGTGCACCACCATGCCCAGCTTTCGGTGCGTATTTCTGAGCAGGATGCCTGGCCACATTGATGGTCATGTGTGTAGGCTAAGTTAACTTAAGTGAGTCACTCAGGGAACAATGAGCACTTGAAGATTGTTTTATATAAAAGGCCGCAGTGAGGCCACCTTGAATCAGGCTGACCAAGGTCCCTCAGCCCTGTCACTGAGCAGCACATGACACTGGCCTGACCTCAGTCTAGCATCCCACCCCTGGGCATGGGGCTTCAGGGCAGCCACATGTGCAGGTGCCAGCTCAGGCTAGCTCCTCTAGGTGTGGTCTGGCCTTTGCCATTCCAGAGCATGCTACCACAAAGACCCCGGCCATGTTTTTGCTTGTATTTCCAGAAGTGGGGTTGCCAGGTCGTATAGCAGGTATAATTTTTTTTACTTGACATGTTCCACTTCTTGTTCTGGGAGGTGGTTCCAAGGGTATCTGCTTTTGGCTGGGCATGGTGGTTCACTGGGCACGTAAGTGCTGGGCATGTAATCCCAGCACTTTGGGAGGCTGAGGCGGGTGGATCACCTGAGACCAGGAGTTTAAGACCAGCCTGACCAACATGGCGAAATTCCATCTCTACTAAAAATAGCCGGGCATGGTGACATGCATCTGCAGTCCCAGCTACTCGGGAGGCTGAGGCAGCAGACTCGCTTGATCCCGGGAGGCAGAGGTTGCAGTGAGCCCAGATTGCATCACTGCACTACTACCTGGGCGACAGAGCGAGACTCCATCTCACAACAAAATGGGGTGTCTGCTTTTGTAACTTTTTTTTTTTTTTTTTTTTTTTTTTTTTTCTGAGACGGAGTTTCGCTCTTGTTGCCCAGGCTGGAGTGCAATGGCACGATCTCGGCTCACCGCAACCTCCGCCTCCTGGGTTCAGGCAATTCTCCTGCCTCAGCCTCTTGAGTAGCTGGGATTACAGGCACGTGCCACCATGCCCAGCTAATTTTTTGTGTTTTTTTAGTAGAGACGGGGTTTCACCATGTTGACCAGGATGGTCTCGATCTCTCAACCTCGTGATCCACCCGCCTCTGCCTCCCAAAGTGCTGGGATTACAGGCTTGAGCCACCGCGCCCGGCCTTTTTTTTTTTTTTTTTTTTTTTTTTTTTTTTTTTTTTTTTTTGAGACGGAGTTTCACTCTTGTTACCCAGGCTGGAGTGCAATGGCGCGATCTCGGCTCACCGCAACCTCCGCCTCCTGGGTTCAAGCAATTCTCCTGCCTCAGCCTCCTGAGTAGCTGGGATTACAGGCACGTGCCACCATGCCCAGCTAATTTTTTGTATCTTTAGTAGAGAGGGTTTCACCATGTTGACCAGGATGGTCTCGATCTCTTGACCTCGTGATCCACCCGCCTCAGCCTCCCAAAGTGCTGGGATTACAGGCTTGAGCCACCGCGCCCGGCCGCTTTTGTAACTTTTAAAACTGCATCTATGTTATATGTACTCATGGATAAATATTTCACAATAAAAGTTTTTAAAAGAAAAATACATGCAATGTACATACTCCTTAGTATATAAAATGTTTTTTATATTTGTGGGAAAAAAAAAAAAAAAAAAGCTTTCGAGGTAGGAGGCCGCTCTCGTCAGGTATGGAGCTAGGTGCGGATGCAACGTGGCCCTTGATAGCACCTTACGTATAGTTGTGTCCCAAAGGAAGGATGAGGATGGCTGCTGAAGTCCTAAAAAGCAGGCCTAACTCAAGCTGTTGGCACACAGGCCTTACACAGAAAGCTGGAAGTTGAAATGGTGGAGTCCAACTTGCCTGGACCAGCTTCATGGGTTCTGCTGGTAACGTTTTTATCCATGGATGGCTTGCCTGAGTATGGAGAGTCGGTTTGACTACACCATGTGGAGCAAGTTTTAAAGAAGCAAAGGACTCCGAATTCATGCTTGAAGAAATGCAGGCAGACCTGCTAACCTAAAAACTAGAGTTTTTAATGACCACAGCAAGCAAGCATGCAGTTTGGCCATTGAAAGGGTCTTTCCTCACCCAGGCTGTAGTGCGGTGGCCCTTTGAGGCTCACCACAGGCTCAAACTCTTGGGCTCAAATGATCCTTGGCCTCCCAGTGGACTTTGTAGACAGCCTGATATGGAGTCTCAAGAAGGTTAAAAATGTCTCCAATTTCAATAAATGGCTGCAATCAAAAAAAAAAAAAAAAAATTCCCACATGACAACCCCACCCCGGCCACTGCCACCATTGCATTCTCCGTCTTATGTCCCTGCTCCTAGCCTGTGGCTGTTTGTTCAAAAGCAGGCCAGGTTCTTGGATTGGTGCAGCCCAGTTAAGGACCTTCCAGCAAGATCCTCAGCTGGGAGCTCCCAGACATGGGGAGGGGTTCTGACATGCGCAGCCCAACGGTCAGGAGGCAGGCAGGACCTGCTGACCAGTTAGGGGCCACGGTGAAGCTGAAATGGCCAGCCAGGCAGGATGCAGGATTGGCCTGGCCAGGCAGCCATCATTGCTGTCCCCACCTCATACTTCCTTCTAATCCAAGGCTGCAGCAGAAGCCCCAACAGTGTGAGCCATCACTTTCTCTCTTTTTTAAAAAAGAGATGGGGCCAGGCCAGGCACAGTGGCTCACGCCTATAATCCCAGCACTCTGGCAGGCTGAGGAGGGTGGATCACCTGAAGTCAGGAGTTCGAGACCAGCCTGGCTGATGTGGTAAAACCTCATCTTTACTAAAAATACAAAAACTAGCGCAGTGTGGTGGTGGGCACTTGTAATCCCAGCTACTCAGGAGGCTGAGACAAGAAAATCTCTTGAACCCAAGAGGCGGAGGTTGAAGTGAGCTGAGATTGCACCACTGCCCTCGAGCCTGGGCAACTAAGAGCAAAACTCAAAAAAAAAAAAAAAAGAGAGAGAGAGATGGGGGCCTCACTCTGTCACCCAGGCTGGAGTGCAGGGTTGGGATCTCTGCTCACTGCAGCCTCCGCCTCCTGGGCTCGAGTGATCCTCCCTCCTCCTGCCTTGACCTCCTGAGTAGCTGGAACTACAGTTGCACACCACCTTGCCAGCTACATTTTTAATTTTTTTATAGAGAACAGGGTTCTCACTATGTTGCCCGGGGTGGTCCTGAACTCCTGGCTTTGAGCAATCCATGCCTAGCCAGTCTGATTCTGACAGAACTCTCCATCTCCTCTCCAGGAAAATGCACAGTGGGATCGAGGGAAAAGGCAGCACGGACTTGGGATGTGACATCTGGAAAGGGGACATGTTTGATTAGCCTGTGGGTGTTCCAGCATGTCTGGCCTACTCACCAGACCCCCTTATAGATTCTGCGCTTCAGTTATGCACAGTCAGGTGGAAGGTCACCTGGAGACAGAACAAGGGCAGGAGAGATTATGAAAGAGAGATCTCACGGGCCAGCAGGATTGGAGGTAGGTGGATTGGAGGCAAGAGGTGCATTAATCTGTTTTCATGCTAATAAAGACATAACACGAGACTGGGTCATGTATAAAGGAAAGAGTTGTTTTTGCTTGTTTTTGTTTGTTTTGAGATGGAATCTCGCTCTGTCACCCAGGCTGGAGTGCAGTGGTGTGATGTCAGCTCACTGCAACCTCTGCCTTCTGGGCTCAAGCGATTCTCCTGCCTCAGCCTCCCGAGTAGCCGGGACTATAGGTGTGTGCAACCACACCCAACTAATTTGTTTGTATTTTTAGTAGAGACAGTGTTTCACCGTATTAGCCAGAATGATCTCTATCTCCTGACCTCAGCCTTCCGAAGTGCCGGGATTACAGGCATAGGCCGCTGTGCCCGGCCAGGAAAGAGGTTTAATGGACTTATAATTTCACACAGCTGAGGAGGTCTCACAGTCATGGTAGAAAGTGAAGGAGGAGCAAAGTCATGTCTCACATGGTGGCAGGCAAGGAAAGCATGTGCAGGGGAACTGCCCTTTACAAACCATCAGATCAGCCAAGTGTGGTGGCTCATACCTGTAATCCCAGCACTTCGGGAGGCCAGAGCAGGGTGGAT